CACACAGACTCAAAGTTAAAGGATGTAAAATGAGTTTCCAGGCCAGTGGATCACAAAAGAAAGTAGGAGTTGCAATCTTAATTCAGACAAAATAACCTTTAAGCTATCAAAAATTTAAAAAGATACAAAAGGACACTACATAATGATAAAAGGTTCAATTCATTAACAAGAACTATCTATCCTAAACATATATGCACCCAACTCAGGAGCAACAGCATTTATAAAACAACTACTAAATAAAGTGAAAAAAGATATTGACTCTAACACTATTATAGCAGGGGACAACTCTAGATAGATCATTGAGGCAAAAATCAACAAGGAGATCCAGAACCTAAACTTCACATTTGACTAGATGGACTTAGTTGATACCTAAGGATTATTCCACCCAACAACCACCGAGTATACATTCTACTCATCACCACATGGAAGATACTCCAAGATTGATCACATTCTTGGCCATAAATCAAGCATACACAAATTCCACAAAATTGAAATCTTGCCATGCACATTCTCAGACCACAGTGGAATAAAAATAAACATTAAAACCAACATTTTCCCAAAGCCCACAAAGACATGGACACTAAACACCATGATGCTGAACATGGACTGGGTCAACACTGAAATCAAAAAAGAAATTGAAAGATTCCTGGAAACAAATGAAAATGAAGAAACACCTTACCAAAACCTCTGGGATGCCATGAAATCACTTTTAAGAGGGGAATTCATATCTCTACAAGCACACATCAAGAAAATGGAAAGATCACAAGTGGAGAGCCTAACAAATCACCTAAAGAAGCTAGAAAGAGAAGACCACCAAAACCCCAACTTTAGCAGAAGAATCAAAAATCACAAAAATAAGAGCCCAAATACAGGTCATAAAGGACAAAAATATCATAGAAAACATCAAACAAACAAAAAGTTGGTTCTTTGAAAGAATTAACAATATTGATGGGCCCCTATCCAGAATGACCACGAAAAAGAGAGAAAAAGCCCAAATAAACACAATCAGAAATACAAAAGATCAAATCACAACTGACCCCAAAGAAATACAAAAGATTATCAGAGATTATTGTGTACACCTATATGGAAACAAACTTGATAACCTAAATAAAACAGAGGACTTTCTGACATACAACCTGGACTGGATGGCTTTCCAGCAGAATTCTACAAAACATACAAGGAGGAGCTGACACCAATCGTATCAAAAGTACTCCAGGCAATTGAGAAAGATGTAATTCTCCCCAAATCATTTTAAGAAGCTAACATTACACTGATACCCAAACCAGGTAAAGATCCAACAAAGAAAGAGAACTACAGGCCAATATCCCTTATGAACATAGATGAAAAAATCCTCAACAAGATTCTAGCAAATCGGATCCAAAAACACACCTCAAAAATCATCCACCATGACCAAGTAGGCTTCATCCCCAGGATCCAGGGCTGGTTCAACATTCGCAAAATCATAAATGTCATTAAATACATCAACAGATGTAAAAGCAAGAGCCTCATGATTATCTAATTAGATGTAGAAAAAGTTTTTGATAAAATCCAGCATCCCTTCTTGATAAAAAACCTCAAACATCTAGGTATAGAAGGAACATACTTCAAAATAGTAAGTGCAATCTATGACAAACCCACAGCTAGGATATTGCTAAATGGTCAGAAAATAGAATCATTTCCCCTGAAAACTAAGATAAGACAAGGTTGTCCACTCTCACCCCTCTTGTTCAATATGTCTTGGAAGTCCTAGCTCAGGCAATTAGACAAGAGACGGGAATCAGAGGTATACAAATAAGAAAAGAGAAAGTCAAGTTATCCCTCTTTGCTGATGATATGATCCTATACCTTGAAAATTAAAGAGAATCTGTCAAAACCCTACTTGCACTGATAAAGGACTTTGGGAAGGTCTTAGGTTACAAAATAAATGTGCAAAAGACAGTTGCATTTTTCTACACCAACAACAAGCAGGCAGAGACTCAAATAAAAAGCACAATCCCATTCACAATAGCCACCAAAAAAGTGAAATACCTCAGCATCTTCCTAACCAGAGAAGTGAAAGACCTTTACAATGAGAAC